AGTGTACACTGCATCTGTCAATTATTAAAAATTAGTAAATACTAAGCAATTGTTTTCAATTTTCTAATTTTATGCAGGGAGTTCACATCAAGATTTTTAATCTCAATTTTATTCTGTATGCATTAGCAGTCTGTGAATATTATTTAACTGCTTTTCAGATTATAAATCCTGATATATGTATATAAAAGTTAGCAACAAGAAAAGCCCAAAGTCCAGATTTGATTTCAAACCTAGACATAAATTTCAGTTCTCTTGTTCCTGCCACCAGAATAAAACTAAAGTTTGTCAGGCACCACTCTGCCTGATCTTTTATTCTTTAATTATTAAAATTACATTAACTTAATTATTAAAAATGTAATCATGAAAATTACAGGAAATTATATAAACACAGTTCATCTGTTTATTCATCTATAAAATGGAGATAATCATGTTTTCACACTTTTTATTGGTTATACAGATTAATTAGAACCATTATGACTAATTTGAACATTCCTTGTGCATTTTTAATTTCCCATCACCTCTCTTGCCCACTTCTCCCCTAACTGTTTTACAAGATTATTGCAAAAAAGATCATTTTAAAATTCTCTAAAATTGCATACACTAGTGGTTGTGAGACTTCTTTTTTTTCTTTCTCAGACTTCTTAATGATTATTATTTCAAAGTATTCAAACAACTATGAACAATTTGAACTGTATTGGGTCCTCAAATTGAAACCAACTTTTAGGGCCGGCCAAACAACTCAGCGGATCATAGAGCCTGCAAGCAGGTGGAGAGGGCGGGAGTTTGATCCCCACCTGCCATGCTGGATCCACCCTGCCGCCTACCCCAAGACACACTGAGACTGTAATTAAAACTGAGGATGGTGGCGTGCGCCTGTAATCCAGGCAATTGGGAAGCTGTAAACAGGAGAATCAGTACAAGTCCGATCTAGCAGTGAGTCCATGAACACCCTTTAGACCATTCCCTAAAATACAGAAAAAGAAAAAATGAAACTTACTTTTATAAAGATACTTGTATGTTACTATTAGGATTATAATTTCAAAAACAGCTACTATCTGTGGTAAAATTTAAACATATAATACTGTTGCTGCACCACAAATATTTAATGGAGATTTAAAATATTCTTCCATTTACTTTATAAATAGTTTTCTCTTTTTGTACCTATGAAATTTGAGGCCTGAATATCTTTGTATGATTCCCTTCTCCTCTCTACCTGTCTTCCATAAGTTACTACTTCAAGAATCTACTTAGCTAAAAAGAAAAAAATACAATCTGATGAATAGATTTTTTCCACTATTTCCATGTTGGTGTTGATTTATGTATCCATAATGAGCTCTGTGCAAAACTTATTAAAATGAACATAAAGCTTATTTAGGGCCTGGTGAGATAGTTCAGTGATCTAAGTCGCCTGCTTAGGCAAGCTTAAGTTTAGATCTCCAGTACCACACATTGCTCTAGCCCCACCCCAGGGCAGACTGAACAAGCCACAAAAAAAAAAAGAAAAAGAAAAAAGAAAAAAAGAAAAAGAAAAAGAAAACTCTCATCAGTTCATCTAACTTGTCTGTAATGTAACAATTACTGTTCCTGTAAGTAATAATAACATGTGCTTACTCATAAGTGAGATAAATCAAACTTGCATGTGTAAACTTTATATTGTGCCCTAGTATAAGAACTTGAAAAAGTAAATAAAACCAGAAAGCTACAACAGCTGCTATGAAGTGGAAAAAAATTGTTAAGTGGAAGGAACAACTTGAATGAGGGAAAGGACAAAATAAAGAAACAAGGAAGGAAATATATATATATATATATATATATATATATATACACAACATACCATGGATAATTGTACTGCTGATTTCTATTGGTCTAATGAGGGAAAGGACAAAATAAAGAAACAAGGAAGGAAATATATATATATATATATATATATATATATATATATATATATACACAACATACCATGGATAGATGTACTGCTGATTTCTATTGGTCTATTGAAGGGAACATTTAATGCTTAAATTATTTTTTTCTTCTTTTTAATTTTTTGAACAATTTTGTGTGCTTATATCTGGGAATCTTAACAACTAATTTGAAGACAACAATATGCAATACAACAACCATTGTTGAAACCCTATCACTTTGCTTAGTGGAATTCTGCATCACTTCTAATTTTCTTTCTCTTTAAAAAATAAAAAATATAAAAATTTTTAAAAGATTCTGTGTGGTGTGTGAATCTTTATTTTTACTACATTTTTAACTGACATACTACATTCACAGATGACATCATTGAACTCATTTTATTATTATTAAGATCCTGTCAAATTTCTTTCTTTAATTTTATTTTTTAAAGAGAATAAATAATAGTAAAAATGTTACAAATGATGCAGAATTTCACTAACAAAACAATAGGAATTCAACAATTCCTATAAACATTAGAAATTTTAACCTGTCATGTTGTTATGTTGCATATTTCTTGTGGGAATTAGAAACAACGTTTATGGAAAGCAAAGATGGAACAAGTTTTGTAGTTCATTCACCACAAGCAAGAACACACACTTCACATTGCTGACAGGGCAAGCATGGGATATTACAACTGCCCAATTGGCTATCAAAACATTCGTGCTTGTTCTCTTAATGAAGAAACTATAACTCCAAGAGTATTTCAAATGTCTGCGGCCTCCCTCTGCCATTCCTAGTTTTTGTTACTTTTCTGCTGTGTCCTGACCAATGAGCACAGAGCTCCAGGACAACCCTCCAAGCACAGTGAGCATTGAAGGGTCAGTTAACAGTCCTTATGGTTTGTCCAAATAAAAACTCAGTTAAGAGCTTCCAGATACAGCTATCAATGGAATAGGAGAACCAGGAATGAAGCCAACCTCACAATGATGAAGTGAGAGTCAGGTGAAATCTTATGCCTTTCCTTTCATTGAGACACACTGTCAAGTCTTATATCAATAAACCCATTGTCTATTTTAATAAACCACAGTGTCAAAATGTTTATAAAAGCCCACGCTTAGACTACATGGCACACACATTGTGGAGAAGGCAGTTATTGTCCCCATTCCCACGAAGGTGTAAGAGCACAGAGAGAGATTGGGACACTTTCAGTAAAGAATGATGCAAAACAAAAACATTCATTTTTCTTACTCCCATCACAGGCACAGTCTCCTTTACTAAAAGGGGATTAAATATTATTATCTATATGAGATGAAACTACTTGGCCCGTAGTCACATGAGAATTATCACTGAAATAGTGTCTTGTGATAAATTAGCTTATACATATTTCCATACTCTTTCCTTGTGGCGCGCATAGGAATCCTTCCAATAAAGATGCAGCAGATCCCACCCACTGTTCTAGACTGTCAGCTACCCAAACTCCCAATCTGAAGAGTGCAGTGAACCGGAATTTGCTTCCTGCAGTGATGGGGATTTGAAATGGCTTCACACATTGTCAACAGCACATCATGCTATGAAATTCCAATAAATATGCCCCTTGTCTTTCTTCAAAATGACTGATTTCCTCAAAATTATTATTTTTCAATTCTATTCTATGGTAGAAGTTACCAAAAAATGCAGAGTTCCTTCCTGTTCCGTGAAACAACGACAGAGTGAGACTTGAAGACAAAGCACCACCAGTTATCTATGACACAAAGAAGAAAAGGCCTGACATGTTGGGTGACCCGTAAAATAGTACCCTCTGTCATTACTGTATTGTTTTCCTTTACCTGCTCTCATTGATGACATTGAAGCAGCCCTAAGAAAACAACTTGAAGGAACACATTTTCCAGGATCATGGACTTGATATCAATGGAAAGTAAGTCCAGATTCAAGGGATGGGAAATATATTTTGGTAAGGATAGGTTTACCATGCAGACTCCAGGCATAACCAAGTACCAGTATTTCATGGTACACTTAGCCTAAATGTTGCACGCTGTTGTTTCCTTGACCACTAAGAGTGTCATACTTGTCTTCACGATGACAAAATAATGCATTTGACAGTCTTTCTTCTGCCAGTCATCTCACTCACAGTTAGTGGGTAATGGAGAATTTCTGCTGTGTAATAAAAAAGGAAATGAAGAATCAGTGTGTCTTCCCCAACCAGGAATCCAGTGAAGACTCAGCCCCTATCTAGAACTTTTGTTAATACCGAGTCAAGTAGGAGTTTCCTTGTGCAATCAAGTACCTTCCTCAGCAAATGCAAAGAAGAGACAGAGGCCTGTAGGCATCAAATAGAAAGTCTGTAGACACAGGGCAATCACTTACTATTGTATTACCTGGAAGGATCAAAGCCCAGACCTTTTAGTAAGCTAAAATGTTCCATCCATCTCAATCATTGAAGAATTTCTAATATTAATTATAGAAAGAAAAATATCAAAAAAGGAATATCTGCATAATTTTGGTACGTTTATGTATACAGGAAGATTATGCCTGCTACTCAATTGTTTTGTGGGTTTGTTAACCACTGAAAACAATTGGATTTTATTTACATTATTTATTTTGGGGAAATAAACCTTTTTGGGGTAGGGTACCTGGAATCAAACTCACAACTTCACACATGCCAGGCAGGTGCTGCACCACTGAGTTATACCCGCCCCAGCCATTAGCTATTTCTTCCATGTCATTAATTACATTATTGTTCCTCTCCAAGAATCATCACTGTGCAAAACCAAAAATGTTTATTTTCCAGAACTAAACATTTATTTTCATTTCAACCACACTGTATTCTTCCAGTCTCATGATCTTTTCTTCTGCCAGTATGAGATGACATATGCTGAGAAATTAAAGTATTGAACTACCAAAAACTGTCCAGAAGTTATACTTTACAGAACAAGATGTTTAGTATTGATGCCTCTTTCCAGGTATATTCCATTTGGTGGTCTCAGGTACTGATACTAGAATTTTCTTTCTTTTTTTTGTTGGAACTGGGGATTGAACTCAGGCCCTTGCACTTGCCAGGCAAGTGCATATTCTACTGAGCTATCTCCCCAGCCTCCAAGATACTAGAATTTTCTGCTGTACAGCCTTCTTAGGGCATTTTTAATGTCCTTATTCCTCAGACTGTAGATGAAGGGATTCATCATAGGGGTCACAATTGTGTACATTATTGAAGACACCACACTCTTTCTGGCAGAATGTGCTAGAGTGGATTCAAGGTACATCCCAATGCTTGTTCCATAAAATAAACATACAACTGACAAGTGAGATCCACAGGTGGAGAAAGCTTTATACTTCCCATCTGATGATGGGATTCTGAGAATGGAGGAAATAATTTTATAGTAAGATAACAATATTACCGAGATGGGGAAAAAACCAAATAGAATGCCAACAAAATAAGTGATTATGTGTTTGGTAAAGTTTTCATTGCAATCCATATTAAGAATTTGAGTAGGTTCACAGCAGAAACTGGATATTGAAACATCCTCAAAGTAAGTAAACCTTAAGACAATTAGATTATGCAGTTGTGAGTCCATAAGGCTAAATAAAAAAGACACAAAAACTAAGAAGATGCAGAAGCAAGGATTCATAGTGAGAGAATAATGCAGTGGTTGGCAGATGGCTACAAACCGATCATAAGCCATCACTGTCAGAAGCATGTAATCCATACACCCAAAAAGAATAAGCAGAGACATTTGTGTCAGGCAGCCCACATAGGAGATGACATTCTTGTGAGTTAGGATGTCCACAATCATCTTTGGAACTGTAGTGGAAATGAAGCAGATGTCAGCAAAAGACAGGCTGGAGAGGAAAAAGTACATGGGGGTGTGGAGTTGGGACTCTAAGCCAACAACCAGGATGATGAACAGGTTTCCAATCACTGTAATCATGTACATGGACAGGAAGAGCAAAAGGAGGATGGGTTGCAGATCAGGTTCCTCTGAGAGTTCTAAGAGGTGGAATTCTAACACATCTTTTAGATTCTGGATATCTGTATTGTTTGGACACCTGTTGAAACAAAAAAAGACAAGGAATAAGTAAATAGGTATCCAGCACACTATGTAGATTTTGTATGTACACAGTCATAAGTACAGAATTTCCTGCGTTATATACCTTAAGTAAAATTTTTCACTTCTACTGAACCATTCTTTCATAAGTCTTCCATTGTTTTTTCCATATTAGTCACCTTCTCTTGCACACACCCATTTTAGGGCTTCCATTGAGCAATGTTAGAAGACAATACTGGCAACAAGAAGTTCATGATCACATTAAAATACTGTATTTTAATAAAAAATGAGAATAAGTAGGAGCTTTCCTTCTCTTAGAAAATCCATTATGAAGGAAATCAACAAGCATTCAGATTTATAGTATTTCTATCAATGTCCAATGTTCCAAAATTAGAATACTAATAAAATTCCTACAAGACTTTATATTATTTCAATATTCCATTGATGCTGAGAGTTCATAGTCATAAAAAATACAAGATGTGATCCAAAACAGACGTACATTTTGACTGCTCTCACTGTGACATAATTTGGAGACAATGCAAAACAATAAAGCCCAGAGAAATGATTTAATATATCTGGCAGCTTTATCAGTTGTAATATGTTTGCAGGAATTACCTGTTTATAGAGTTATTTCATGAATATTTTAAAGGATTGTTTAATTGTATAGAATAGAGTTTTCTTGTCCCATTTATCAATGTTATTTATTTTAGAAAATATTAAATATACAGATACTCTGACCTAAAATCACAATCAGTTTGATCAGAATGTGTGCAAGTGAATTTCTTTTAAGTTCTTATCTACATCTGAAGAGAAGCATGGCTTAATTAGTAAATTTAGTACTAGGATAATTCTTTTACTATTTTTCTTCTCTCCATAAGTCACATGAAATAAATTTCCCCCCCAAAAAATCAATATAGTGTATAATTCCTTTCTGAAATAATCATACAATTAATCTGTTTGATATTAATGAACTACACGTGTTATCTCCATTACCAACTCTATCATTAAAACTACGTACCCTTTCTATTAATATGCACAAATATTCCCAAGGCCCAGATGGAAATAATTATTACAAAATAATTTAAGTAAAAATTGCATTTTACAGGGGCCTGGGAGATGGCTCAGTAGAATAAGCACTTCCCTAGCAAGCGCAAGGGTCTGAGTTCAATCCCTGGTTCTGCCAAAAAAAATTGCATTTTACACTGAAAATATTATTTTTATTTGACTCCTGTAGAAGGGACAATTCTCTAGGATGGGACTCAAGGAATAAACATGTGAGTCCCAAGCCATTGCTCTGCTAAAATATCCTCAATGTCTGTTTTCTCTACTCTCTGTTCATACTGCCTTGTGAAAATATAATAAGTTCCATTGCAAGAATATATGCGCCACATAATATAAATTTGGGAACTAATAAATATTTGATCTTTGTGGGGTTTTCTCCATGAAAGATTCCTATGTTTAAGACATAGTAAATTTGTTGATGAGTACAATCATTAAAGGGCACTGTAACCATCAAATAATGTGAAAACATTAATAGGTCTTAACCCAAGGCTTACATATAGGCTAGTGCTTCACTTTGGATCACTTTAAGTTGCAATTAAAATTAAATTATTGGGCCCATATTCATGACATATATTCAAAGAGCTATTTTTTTTTCTTGTCTGATGAATCAGTCATTAATGATAGGGATAAAAGTGCAGACAGGAAAGCATCAAAGATGTTGATGGCAGCCAACCAGTCACTGATTTGCACCCATTTTTAGTTTTGATATTTTCCCTGATCCAGAGATGGTAAAGGCTCTGCAGAATCAGAAATTAGTTGATTGTTCCTCTGCAAAATACACAGTATGTACTTTTTTTTTAATTTTTATTTTATTTATGAGAGAGAGAGAGAGAGAGAGAGAGAGAGAGAGAGAGAGAGAGAGAGAGAGGGGTGTGTGTGTGTGGCCAGCTCAGCCCACCAGGGGGCGGGACTGGCTGGCATGTGGTGCTGGGGGATTGAACCGCGGTCCCTGATGCTTTGCCAAGCTTGTTCTAAGTAGGTGCTTTAGACCACTGAGCCATCTCTCCAGCCCCCACAGTATGTACTTGTGCAAGAAAAATCCCATTTCATCTAAATAAATCAATAACTTCAGTTCACAACATATTTTCTTGAAAGGCCTGACGATTAACATTCTTTTTACTATGAGTAATATCTAATATTTTGCTCTAATTTCATGCATTCCTCAAGTATCAATCACATATGTAGCAGCCACTGCCTGTTCAATCCTTCCTCAGTACACTTGTCTGAAGTAGGGATCACCTCAGATGTCAATGCTGAGTCTCCTAGGTACTAGTACTAAGTATAGAAGTAATATGTTCATCCTACACAAGCTGTGTGCGTGTCCTGATGCATAGCAAACAGTGCCACAGGCCGTCTTCCCTCCACCCTCCCCCTCCCTCAGCACTTACTCATCTGCACTGTGGCTGGTATTGCTCATGATCACAGAGCATGGACCTGACACTCATCTATGGCAGGTATCAGGCGTGGATGCCAATTCAGTCCTCAGAACTGCTGTTATTGCATCTCTGATGGAAGCTTCTCAAATAGGGTAATCCATGGAGGAAGAGAGTCTTACAAAGTAAGTTTTAACAGAGACATGAAACTGAAGAGCTGTACGCCAGGGGTTATTGCTAACAATTATATGATCTCGGAAACTAAATGCACAGAGGTCATAATTAGGCAAATTGGTTGAGGTTGTCACAAACTCTTAGGACACAGTGATATTAATTGGGGAAGAACTTAAAAGAAAATGAACGTATCCAATTGTTTTAGGGCTCTTTCTCTATATAGCAGGAAGCATATTAATACTACGTTTCATCCATTTTTTAAAAAATCATTTGATATTTATTTGTATTTTATAAATAAATTTTAAAGAATAATTTATAATTTTCAAAGGTGTCAAGCAAGCAATTCAGTGATTTTTTTTTTTTTTTTTTTTTTTTGCGGAACCAGAGATTGAACTCAGGCACTTTCAGTGACATTAATTAAACTTATACTGTTGAACTGCCATTACCACTTCCAACTCCTGAAACTTTTCATATTCTAAAATTAAAGTGTCTACTCACTTAAAAATGTCTGTTCTTTCTAACCATAAAATTGGCTACCACAACTCTTTTATCAAAAAAGACAAGATTTAAAGCCTTTTTTCTTCAAAATCATTTTTATTTCTCCAGCCTGCCTTGAGCTCTTTCTCATCCCAAATTTTCAATTTCGACAAAGTGTACTTACCTATTTCTTATCTTTTTTTATTTTGTCCCTTTAAATTATTTCTATTTTGGTTTTCTCATATGACATTGCATTTAAACTTGTTGTCTCAGTTCTTTAATTAAACTGTTCTGTTGTGAATACTTTTAATTCCTTTACCACTGGCTATAGGTAAGGGATTCACCATCATATAATGACTGGGACCACAAAATACTTTCTGGAAGATTATGAGAGAGTTTAATCCAGGTGGAGTGGAAACAAGGAAGGCAAATACACATGCTTCATAGAAAGGATGATCTACCCATTGTGGATATGATAACTATTTGAAAAGCTGGACCAGTGTGGATGGACATAAAAACTTTAAGGGAAACTTCTAGAAATATCATTGCAACCAATATGATATATTCCGTGAATATATAAGAGTCACAGAATAGATCCTTGACATTTTATACATTGCTTTTCAAATCTCACTACCTTAAAATTAGTGTTTGTCCTAACAACGAGGACACAATAGTTCCATTAATCCTTCTTCCATTCTTCCTTCTCCTCAGGATCTTCTGAGTTGTTTTGTGTCTCTTTGGGTCCTGGTTAATGTCATGAATCACACACCACTCAACTGAATGATGATCAATGGAGGTCAAAGGCCTATGCTTGGGACTGAAGTGAATAAAATAGAATACAATAGCAGATAGAAATTTTCTGCTGCAGAAAATTATGGAAGGAAGATAAAGCAACAGGTTGCACAGCAGCCCACGGCCTTCAAACTGAGCAGATAGAAGGTGAGTATGATGATTTTCTCCTTATGATTTTGGATCTTTAGCAGCCAAATTCACATCACTCACGAGTTTCCTGTCCCTAAGAGTGACCTAAAATGAAAAGACAAAGAAATCACTGTAGTGGTCCATAAAGAATATGCACCCTCAATTTCAAGAAAATGTAAGGCATACTATATACTATCCCTTTTTATTCATGTTTTTTAAAAAATCCATTAGCCTTTATTTCACTCGTTTTCTTGTACTACAATCTAAAAAACAATATCTACTAGTACTATTTTTAAATGTAGACCTTGTGGATTATGTTTTAGGTTTTTATTGTCTTTTCAACACAGTTTCACTATGAACTTCAGGCTAGAATTGAACTCTAAGCAATTATCTTTCTTGAGCCTCCTAAGTGCTAGTATTACAATTATATATTACCACAGCTACCTGGTGGATTATTTATAATAAAATTTTTGAGTAACCACCATCATCATCCATCTACATATATTATCATCCCAAATTGACACTTTACACTCATTTGAAAAAGTTCAATTTTTTCACACAAATTCTTCTAATCACCATTATACCGTGAATCATGATGAGCTAATTTCATCAACTTGAAAACTTGTGTAACCAAAAAGTCAGTACTTAAAACTCTAGGTTTTGAGTTTGGCTACATTTTAGGATCTATATTCCAAGTGAATGTGAAAGGTCCTGTGATTAAACTTCCATCTTCTGGAGCATATTGAGGGAACTGCTGCTGTTTCTATTCCTCAGACATAGTTAAAAGGATTCAGCACAGGTATGAACACTGTGTCTGGTCGAGAGATCACTCAGCAGTTCCAAGGAGAACATTGTAGAGTAAAATCAAGGTATATTTCATTGCCTTTTCCAATAAAGAAGCAAACAATACATAGTAAGACCAACAGATTGAAAAGGCTTTATACATCCTACTTAATTATGAGATATTCAGAATAAAAATAGTGTTATAGTATG